CTTTGATTATTAATCGTAAAAAATTGAACAAAACTCTTCCTGGACATATATTGAATGTACATTTTTATTGGTTTATCTTAACAGAAAGTACTGGAAATGTCAAAAGAAGAATTCTATCAACTACCACCATGGAAGCAAAACAATCTGAAAAAGGATCATGTACTTTTCTAATCGCAGTGGAAAAAAAAGCTTTTCATGGAAATGAATGCAAAGGAATTTTGACTTGCAATTGCTATAGTGGTTGCCATGGATACAAAAATGTTTTTACGAATGTATGCATTTGCTGATTGTGTTTTGATTATGACTACAAGACGTTACAGAAAGAAAGATGACATATCTGTTATGAATCTTGAAATCTTGTTTGATGAAACGTTAAAGATAGTGTGTGTTCATATGTAGTGTATAAAGACTTCATCCTGTTGCTAAATACGCCAAGTCATCATGGAATGCCGAGAGGAAATCTACGCATTATATCAACTTCTGTCAAATTATTTTACAAAACTCAAACACCAATGGTCATCTGAACATTGTAGTGATTAATCTGTTTCCATGGCAACTCACAGCCAGTTTGTGCAATGTATTGTGAGTGTCGTCTGCTGCCATTTTGTATTAGACGTTCATACCACATAGTAACAGTGTCCATAGCAACAAGTTAAAACAAATCTGACAATCATTTTAAAACATGTTTTTGACTGTACTTTTGTTACCTTTTTTATATGTAGTTAATTTATATTTTTTGTTTTTGTTGTTTAATAGTTATAACTCTATGCTGCCTTCAAATAATCATGCAATTTATAATGGTAATGAACCTGCCTTGTGAAATTTGACTCTGTCTTCCAGGTTTGCCAAATTACAATCCGTTAGCTATGACCTTTGAAAACATTACAAGTATGCTATATTATGATATAAATTGATTTTCAAAGAAGCAAAAATTTAATATCGACTCATTCTCTTAAAAACTCACTGTTAGTAAGTTAATTCAGATTGCCCAAAAGATTCTTGGGCGGTTGGTTGAAGTGGTGCTTATATGGTCAAAGGGTATGAATGAATGAATGAAGGAAGGCCAATAGTGTTACGATGTATAAATGTATGACATTTACAGTTTTTTTTATTCATCTTCCTTCTGGGGTGCTAGAATTCTACAATTGTCTGATTTCTGGACTCGGAGATAAACTTGATAACTGACAATCATCTTATTTTGGGTGACTCTTGCGTATCTATGGAATCGGCTTTACAACTTTTTTTCTGAATTTTTAAGAGACCTTTAATTCAAGCCTATACACCAGTGTATCTATTGAACGGATTGGTTCTTACAGAAGTAGCTTAGACATCTGACTTTGGTTTGACAAGACTGAACCCAAACAAGAACTGCTTTAAGTTTACAGCTGTTGTAGATGTAACTTTAAAAGTTACAAATATGCTGCAAAGACACTCCAGATAATATTATTAACTAACAAACTTAACTTTCAGACTCCCAGCCCACCTTATGTCTTAAGGAGAATGGCCAGTTGGTTGATTTACATTTCAAAATAAATGAACTTATTTCTTATATCAATAAAGCTAAATAGCTCCCTCTGTGGTGGTTTTTATTCATTGTTTTTTTTAACTTTAATAAAACGTTTTTGATTTGAAATGAGTGGAGGTTTTTTTGATTCAAACCGTGGAAAGTAACACTAGAGAGTGCTGTTCCTATAAGCGTTGCCAACTGGCAGACTGGTAAGTTTTTATATCATAAATGTAGATTTTTTTTGTATTTATATTTCAATTATTGTTTTAAAAAGAATAATCCAACATGTTCAAAGGGTGCTCAATATATATTATCTGCATATCATGGTTACCATAGCAATGGGTGGATATTTGTAGTTTGTGATTTTTTTTTTTGTAAAAAAAATTGTAAAGATAGTAAAAAAAATGAAAATGTCATTTGTGATAAGAAGGAACTTGAAGATAGTCTGAAAAATATTTGTATTATTGTTTTAGTCGTCAACAGTGTAAATATGTTTCCTTGCACACACCTCTGTATGGAATAGTATAGTCCAGTTATCATAGTGTAGTAATGTACCACATCTCGGGGTGGTGAAGAGATTTGGCAGGGTTAGTTTCTGCTTTTATGGGTGAATTTGATTATGTACTTACATCAATCGCAAATAAAGTCGCCTTGTGTTAAACAGATCACTTTTAGATTCTCATGTTGTCTAGAAATTTTATGCCGGATGAGTGGAAATTCTTATGAAAACGATCATTCTTTCTGGGTCTGCTCATGAAAAGTGTAATGCCCCACTCCATCAGTTGGAGTCGAGTTGATATGCTATTCCCGTAGAGAAAAAAAAATAAAATATTTGCGCCAGTACTTCTTATCATGTACAACTGTACCTCCTATAGCCCAGTTTCGTAACATTATGGGAGGTGCGCCCTCGCATCAGGGCAATAATTTCCCCCACATCACGCCTGGCCCAGTTTTCATCAATCAAAACAAACACGTCATAATTACACCTATAAAGTATATGATAAAACCTTTATGAACTGAATATCCTGTCCACAAAAATTATTACGGAGCTACATTGATTGGCATTAGTGTTTAGTCTTCATAGCAATACTTTAGCGTTTGGTCTTCATGGCAATAAAAACTTGCACAGACAAAACATTGGGATAGATAACTTAGAATCCTTAGGTGAAATGCATACCTGTTTTTTTCTAATATTGAACTAGACAATGAAAGTGATAAGTCGTTTTTTTTTGTTTTTTTTTATTTCCAAAGCGCACAAATTGTAGTTGGTTTTAGTTGTTTTTACGTGGCGTTTCCTCTATCAGGCTTGTATACTGGATCCATGAAAGGCCGGTTCTTATTATAAAAACGTTGAAGTTGTTGCTCGTATTGTTTGAGTTTCACTGTTGTTATTGTTATTGTTGTTGTTTTGTAGTTGCTGCTGATGATGATCATTAAGTTGTTGTTGTTGTGCTGGTAACTCGCGAACTCTTACATAAAACAATATATTCGTCCTGTCTTGCACGCTCGACACTTCTTGAATCATTCGGTTGGTCCTTGCACGGAGAGCCAGACATTTTCTGTAATCGCTGTTGGTTTGGGGACACTTTAGTACTTGCTTGTTTATGTTTCTTGACGCCAATGTGATGTCTTGAATTTCACGATTTAAAACGTGGAACATTTCCAGTTCCCATTTATCGTCTGGGTCCGTCAAAATAGGCATGCGAATACGTCTCTGCCATTTTGACGGAGTTTTGTCTTGTCGTCGTTGCATCGATTCATCTGCCCGGCTGGGCGCTTCGTCGTTATCTTCTGGTATTACTCTTTTGCGAGATATGGCTCTGGATAGCTGCTCTAGTAAGCCCATATTGATTGGTCGCAGTGTTCACGCAATGTACGATTTATCGGCTTTCAAACATTTGAAACAGAAATTTCCAACAGAGGGCGTTCTATTATTCTAATATTCTACCTCAAAGTTCGAGGAATTCTCGGCGCGGAGCTACGTCACAGAAAGTACTACGTTGCTAAGGCGCGCACCAATGTACGAGCAAGCCGTTGACGCTGTTCGCTGGTTCCCGGCGTCCTTTGCGAATGGCAGGTAGGACGCAGGTAACTAGTAATCGCCATATTGTTCCATTTGGGCCGGTTTTCAGGCCGGAAGGAACGCGACTGGGTGACGTAATTTGAAAACATTCCAAGTTCCGTTTTGCGTAAACGTGTCTGTAATACTACAATAAAGCCATGCTCATACATACTGCCTGCTTAGATTTACAGATTTGATATGTTCTGTGCTAATTTATAACAAAAGAAACAATTCTTTTTATTCGCCCAACTTTCGAAAGCAAAAGGAAACCCCTGAACGGCCACGAGCGTAAGCGCTGACGTCAGGTAACTAAGGGAAATGGATCAAGCAACGAGAAAGTGATGTACCAATCAGAATGCCGGATTCATTACTAGTTACCGGCCTCTTGTGGCTTGGTACGCCATGACACTTGAGGCGGGAACCAGCCAATTGACGCTGCTGGTCGGCGCCCTTTCTACAACGCGTGCGAACTGCTGTGGAACGCTGCACAAACAACAAACGAGACAACTAAATTTATAAATGTTCTACACACAGGGGTAATATTGCTACACTGCTCAAGAGAGTATCAACAACTAGCACAACGTACAGTTGTTTTAGATTTTCCGCTGTTGTTTTCAAATCAGTAGATGCGCCCTCTAGCGACAAATTGTTTCTCTGATTTATGGATCTTGTTTTATTTATGAACAAGTTTTGAGAAATAATTGTAAACTTATAACTGCTGACATATAAAGTAAATACCCGGTAGCCGAAGATAAAACATTCATTAGAGCTATGCCACACTAAAAATACTGGCAATGTACTGTTTAATACTTTTAGACATCAAAAAGTACATTGTAAGACACTATACTAGTATATCTTTGCCATAGGAAACAATGGTAAAATGCCCTAAAACAAACAAAACATGCTATTATCACCGTGACTGCATTTTATTGTCGGTTTTCCTCTGAACTGAGTATGGTGACCACATATTTTTATGTTATTATTTTCTTCACTTTGTAGTATGACGAATAGATCAGACGTGCACAAATAAAGAAAATGACAATGTTTTTACTTTTGTTTAGATGGGTACTCCCATAGTTTAAATGTTCGGGTATATGCCGCTGTTTCGACTCTTTCTCCTATTTTCACGGTCGAGCCGCTCTTCTTGACCCCCAATTTTACGATATTTAGCAAACAAATATATACTAGTATTCCATTTTCTTTTGGTCAAGAAGCGCCATCAACGTCGATCTTTTAGAGTCTAGTTTTTAACTGACCGCGGAGTAATCCCACCCGAAATAGTGTTACAATGTAGATGTTTTGTTTTTATTTATTTTTCAAGTTTTGTTTCAAAGAGATCATTCCAACATGTTCAATATATTATGTGCTCATAGTGATTACTATAGCAACAAGTGGGTGTTGATGCAAATTAGTACTAGATACTGTATGACATGCGCTCTTCTTCGCGATGAGAAATCGTCGATTATTTTACGTGAATTTTTAACATGAACCACAGGTTCTTGTAAATTTTCTATCATGTCAATGTTACCGGGATATTGACGGACTCGGTGGGTAGGAACAAGCCCGACAAAGTCCTTTCTCTCAAACATTAGTAGTGTACTGCCGAGTGAGCAGTCTGACAGCTTCTCAAAACGTCCACCACCAGTCCCAGGCTACGAGTGAAATCAGTTGATGCAAACCATCGTCACGAACATCCGGCTTCAGAATGACTTGACGTGAAATATGAAATAGTACAACGAATGTGAAAGGCTCTGCAATGTAAGAATACTTCTCCATGCGAAGTGACGGACTTTACTGTCAACTTTTTCAATTTCGGGAAATAAATTTAGCGAATTAATGGAAATCGCAAAATTTGTAAATGCAGTGAACATTTTTCATAAGACTTTCACAAAATTGTGTCTACACGATTTCTAACAGTGAAAACGGTTTACAGTATAAACAGTCAAAATTAACCACGAAACTTCATCTAAGTATGATAGCATCTCGTAAGAGCAAATGGTGGGTGGCGGTATAGCTTGTTGGCATAAAACTATAAATGTTCTCGATGTACAGCGAGGCCAGATTTCGGTTCTATTTACGATGTTAAAATAAAAGTGGTATTGTTTATCTCTCTATGCCCCTCTGAACAATGGAAGAAAGTCGTTACTGATACTGTGACCATGCATTGGAACAATTACTTCATCTTGAATTTTCCGCACTCCACTATCACGGTTGGGCAGGGGGAACAACACCATGCAGGTGGAAAATGAATTACAAGTTACACTTTAGTTTTTTTAAAATGTTCTTTACTGTACATGATCAGAGACTGAAAACATACTATACAAATGAAATCATATCCACACAAATTATGCAAACTTGAATTTGTATCTCAGACATCCACTGCAAAATTCTGGCGATGGCTCGAACGCCATTCTTTGAAGCCAGTTCCCCCACTTCTTACAGTGTCCAGCCTTGGATTATTTGTGAACATATTTGTTGAAAGAAAAACGCACATTTCGAGCATTTACCTAATTCGGAGTATCAGATTCGAATCGCTCAATCAAAGGTTACATAGCTCTTTAAAAAAATGACCATGAAGTCGTCATAAATAAATTGTCTGGAATAAATAAACTCTTACAAAAACTAATATCGTAATTTTGTTTAACAAATTATTTCGATGCACAATTCAGAAAACGTTGTTCTTGAAATACATTTCAGTTCTCGTATTTTATCAATGTAGCACCGACTAGTGCGAGAGTATGATAATTGTATATTTACATAAATATTCAATTATGAAACAGTGTAAGGATTGTGCGTTTGTGTTGTTAACCCGCGATACTTGGCAGACATAGCTTGGCACTAATATCAGAGCGAATGCGAGTATCCGACTCACAAGCGTTGGGTTTGTGTTCAGAAAAGCCAACTTTAAAACAATCCTTGCCAAGCTTGTCAAATTTCAGGTTATTTTATAAATTGTCGTCTGCGTCCCCCAATCGCGGCAACATGGTCACGTATCACGAAGAATCGAGTTTAGGAAATAATACGCTACCATCAGTCTCCTGAACAACTTGTTAAATTATAGAAGATTATGGTTTCTTTGAAACACGTGGTTTCTAAACAGAGAATGTGAAGAGAGGGTAGAATCTTGCATAAAATATGACAAACGAGATATAATCTCCCGTGAAATACGATGACTTAAAGCCAGTAATTCATGTACTCGCTATTTTCGTTATACACAACAATTATTATAGATTGGTATTGTAAATGGCTTTGTTCGTCATTTCAGTGTCCATTATGTCGATGGCATGGGGTGAATCGACTCCTTCGAGCTGTGGGACGCTTGATTTGGCAGGTTTTTGGCAACGTTTAAGACACCTCCGGCAAGCATGTATTGCCAGGATTTTCGTGATGATGCGATCCAATGGCGCCAGAGATCGCATCCATAACGGCAAGAAATTCCACGTTTTTAGCTTCGTTGGAAGCTTACCTGGACATTTTACTTGTAACACGTTGACGATCAATATAAATATACAAAGTAGGACTACGGGAATTCCCACAATAGCCATCCATTGCCAGCCAGCAAGGGACAGACCAAATATGACAGCGGGGAATACGAAGAACATAAATACCAAATAGAATATACTAAACCACCGGTACTTGGCTGTGGTGTTGCCGTTAAATTTAGCCAATTTTATTGGCACCCGACGCATGAAAGGTATTGGATACCAAATAATAATACCGCTAATGTTAAAAAAGAAATGACAGAGCGCAATTTGTAGCGCATCATTCAGGTCATCACCAGAGCTAGCTAATGCTGCGAGCATAGCGGTAAAAGTAGTTCCAATATTGGCACCTAAAGTAAAGGGGTACATTCGGTTGACGCTAATTACACCGATGCCTACTAACGGTGTCAGTGCAGAAGTGAAGATCGAACTGCTTTGAACCAACATTGTCAGCCCTGCCCCAACCATTATAGCGATGTATCCAGTCAACCAGGCGAGTTTCCCTGGTAGGTTGGAGTTGATGACTTTCTTGGTAATGACAGCGATACGGCCCCGCAGAATAGAATGTAGTAGTTTAACTATCAGCACCAGACAGATACAGAGAATGGCAAGTGCTATGAGCAGGATGATCACACCGAGAAGAGAATCATTTAGACCGGTGTCGGAGAACAGAAAGTTACCTGCAAAGAAAGTAGTAGATGCGTCAATATCAGTCGATTACGCCCTCTGTGGTGACGTTTCGAGCAGGGGAATATACTGTATTTGCTCCATTAGCGGCGGATCTGATAAAAGTGCATATCAACCAAAATCGCATTTGTTGTATCATAGACTCCATGTTCTATGTTTGTATTTTGAACAAAGAAACGCCATAGTAATTCATGTATAGTAGGGGTATGCCTCACTAATGAAAAATACTCAAAACTGTGCTTGCGTAGTTTCAGTGTATTATCCAACTTTTTAAACACTAGAACCAGTAAATATGTGCAAAATTAAAATACTTACATTTTTCCAGATACACTGTTTCGTTTTTTTCCACCGCTCTCGTATCGTTCATCAGCTGGGTCACGTTCTGTCCATCGATTATCTCTGTCTTATTAACAAGAAAAGTCTCGTTGACGAATCGGGTGACCACGCCCTTTTCACACCACACCTTCACCAGACTGTTCTTACCGGCGTCCATATCACCTTTGGCAATATTAGTAATCACTTTCTTGTCAATCTACGTCATAAAGAGACGACTCAATGTTAATTTACAATCTGAATGACCATATTTGTTCGTTGTAGTTGTCTAGAAATTACATACACAGATAATAGGCGACCTATTTAATTCAAAAATGAATTGAAGATAAATTTCAACCGGCACTGAGTATTATTTCACATGTTGTAAGTTTGAGGAAGGTGTGAGCTAATAAATTACAGTTAAATGGTACATATGAACCATGAAGAACATTTGGAAACAAACATCATAATCTTGAAAAACAAATGCAGCCCAAAACTAAGGGAAAGAAAAAATAATGCACCCCTAACCCGAAAATAAGACAAAGTTGATGGGCAACGAACGGGCTACGCATGAATAGGATTTGTTCACTTTCATTGTGAATGTCGAGAAAGCGCGTCATTGTTTTGACCCGATGTTTCCTACACATCTACACTTTGTTCATAACTTTGACCTACTGAAACAGTAATCGGATCGGCGAATTTGGCCGATGACATGTCATATAATACCAACATGGAGAGAATATTACGTAAACATAACTAATTTACCTGGATAACTAGTTTGGTGAATGGTTTGGTCAACACTTTTAATAGTTCGACTTCGACTTCTTCGTTAGTTTCCAGGTGTAAACTCTTAACAATAAGATCAGTAAGTCGATATAGGTACGATGTTATGAGTTCCAATGGTAGTAATACAATCACCGACAACCAGTTGAACATATCGTGCACGGTAGCCCCAGCAAACGCTCTGCGGAACTCGTTCCTATCGCCAGCATGGAAAACAGACACAATAGTGTTAGTCACCGAGGTTCCGATGTTGGCTCCCATCACGATTGGAATAGCTGGTTTTACATCTATAACTGAAAGATACAACGTAATAGAGAGAGAACCATTTATAAATGTACCTAAGAATTCGGATTTATCACTAATGTTGCATTTAACCTTGTATTAATCCCGGCTAATGGCTTTCATTTTAGCGCGACTATTTTGCATATTAATTAGTTCATTTACATTTCATAGTATAATGAAAAAATAAAAAAATGGTTCATGCAAATGCGTTATTGTTTTTTTTTTCTATTTATTAGTTTGTTTTGTACTGTTGTTTGTCAGTATATTTAAATATTTTCAATTTTAATTTATTTCTACTGTTCACTAATTCAGACATCTGAAACACGAGAATGCATAATAATTGGTACTACTCGCAGAAGTAGTGTTTTTTTTTTTTTTTTTTTAGAGGAACGAAGAAATTTTTTTTTTGTAGTTGGAGCATGGCAAATGTACATAAAGTAAAATAAAATAAAATAAAGTAAAATAAAATAAAATAGATGAAATAAATTACATAGAATATACGAGCTCCGAGTTTTACCATAGTAATACGGGCAAAGAAGGGCGTTGTGTCATCTTGGGACGCGCTGTCTAGAGAGGACAGTGATCTGCAGCGTCCGTGAAAGGACATATAGTAAATATTATTTGGTAACTGTTGTCCTAAGTAACTATTCAAATTATCTAGACGTTTCGAAGCAACGACTCTTTAGAATAGCAGAAAATGCTTAGGTAGCGGGGGTTGTTTTTTGTTCCCAGCCTTGCCATAGAACATGTGGTCATTGGCCTAGCCATGGCCCATGGCCTAACTCAGTGAACAGGTTTATCTGCTTATTGTGTAGCTTACGTGAGCGTTAATTTAGTTGGGCATTTCCCACTTCGTGTCTTATTTCCAAATTCCATGATAAAATATTCTTTGAGAATGTGCACTTCGTTATATCATATTTGACTCAAACTATAAAGGATTTATGATGTTAAAACGTTACAGAAAGCGAGTCCAAATCCAAATGAATTGTTCGATTCATGAATCGTACGACTTACTCGTATCGAGGGCATACTTTCATATGCTAATTAGGTGTCGTCATCACGTACACGGCACTATCATGTGGACCCCATATGCCTTGAATGGGCTCGCAATAACAATCAACTGTACTTTGTATGTAGTGTATTCGCTAGCTGCTGGTAAATGTAATGTACTTTTATACGAACTATTTATCTTTTGAATGCTTAAAATAATATTACGCAAAACCCACAAACCAAGTGGCACGACGCCCGTGTACGTAAAAATCGGTAGTACCCGGTTAATTATTTGTCTACACAAGTTGTATAAACCTAACACCCGCGAGTTTTGATTTCTTTCGATGACACCAATGAACTTGCAAATCAGTGTATTCTCTGCGTATTGTGAGGCGAGTGAGAATAAGGGGCTGGCCAATATATCCTGAGAGGGTGTCAAACTTGAACAACAACATATTCGAAAAAAAACGATTGAAAACTGAATATTCACTCGGAAAATGATATAGCGAAGTGCAGGCAACACATAGAATACTTTTAGTAATAGTACAATGTTCTTTCCCAGAAAAACATGTTAACAGCAAAATGTATTGGCAAGGAACATATATCATACGAGGCCAAAAAGAATTTAAACATTCCAGTGGCAAATTAAAAACATGTCAAATTTGTTACGCCCTCACAACAAGGTCCTCTTTAATCGAACACTGGTGGCGATCGCAGCATTGGGGTCCCATCCAACATTTGTTCTTTGTTTCACAAGACTATCATATATAAGATATGTATTCTCCAATATGTTTTCCAAATCGAGGCCCAAGTCCTACAAAACTGCCACAACTACATCTTTGCTCTATCTACAATCGATACTTACTTCCCGAAGCTACCATGGCAACAACTATAGAGGTCGTCGTACTTGAACTTTGAACCAATACGGTTGCAAGGACTCCAACCATCAGGCCACAGATGGGATTGGTAGCAACTATACTGTTACCGATTACTTCACCAGCCGCTCTACCACCAAGGAGACGAAACGCAGAGCTGAGGAAATCCAATGAGCAGATGAAGAGGTAGAGAAGGGCAAGAAGAAGGGCAGGTTTTACGATACCAGTGGTGATGACACGTTTTATCTTGCCACATACTGTCAACTCTGAAAAATAAACAGTCCAGATAGTAAAACGCCTCGTACAACAGAAGCATGTTCAATACAAGAAATAATGTTATAGTTTGAAATAGAACAATTGTGTAATTCTGTATGTATATCACCTGATGTAATGCATTAGGATAGTAACTTTGACTGTGCCTCGGCCTGCATGTCTTATTTTAAAGGGCAGTGGTCGTTGTGCCGCGTCCTGTTAGATATGGGACTCATAGCGACCTATACAACGCGTGGAAAATACATTGTTTATTTACATGAAATTCGAACACGCGCTGCGCGACGACCACCGCGCTTTAATAACATTGTCCTGACGGAATATTGCGGCGCTGTTGTGTTCTCACCTGACCAAGGTGTTCCTTTATTTTTCAGATCAGGAAGATCCCAAGGATCGACTTCTTTCTCAACTTCTTTCTTTTCAAGTATCACTTTGACCAACTCAGTAGAAGGTGGTACAGTGTTATTCTCGTCACAGGCGAAACCGGTTTTATCGTCCAAGCCGGCGTCATCGTAACAATCAAGGCCGGTCTGTACGCTCACTGACGCAAATGTCTGAAAACAAGCAAGTTTTTTTTTATCAATTTAATATTCAGATCAACGGGCAACGAATACATTTACACTTGGCTCAAAGGGAGACGCATGATGGGCACTATAAAGGGACAATTATTCGTTCATGGATAGGAACAGCATACTGTTCAATGCGCCGCCAGCCCCTACGCACACACGATAAAACATCGTCACTCTCCCGAGGGTGAACGCGAAGCATCCATAGATTTCGCGATTACAGGGGTTTTCGCGTTAAGCCCTCCATTTCGCGATATTTTTCAATTTAAACTTTAAAAAGAAACTTCAACAAATCTCCCAGACTGTGCCAGTCCAGGTAAAGGGAAAACTCGTTGTAACCATGACGGCCATACTGGGAAATGTTCTCAGATTCATGTTGTACGTTGAAAAATACTGTAAAGTGTACAATTCATATAAGCGATATATTTACAGTACTGTTGTGTGGATGACAATATGTGTTTAGGTGATGCTCATTTTTCCCCAGAATGATTCAAGGTTCAAAATGTCTTTTATAGGGGAACCGCTCAATCCCATGGATTGCACCAAAGAATCATGGGACACTATTGTTTATGTTGTTTACAATGTTAATCTATCTTTTGTTATCCATGTTATTTTAATCCAGAAAGTAAATTTGTTGTGAGATTAGGCTTAACTGGAAGTGCCCTTTAACCTTTGATACACAATTGTAATATGCAAATAGCGAAGAGTCACCAGAAGACTAAACGCTATTAATTAGATGAAACATGGAACTATGGATGAAACAATCGACTTCACATTCGCGTTTAATTAATGGTACGTACTATATATTCATACTGTACGTGAACATTGGCCATTCTGTATTTCCTGGCATGAACATTAGATTATGTGCTGCTAATAATGTTTTCGGTCATTTTACGATAAATCCCAGAGCAGTGTGTGTATCAATATGCATCGCATATCCTATCTAATGCTACAAAGTCAATCAACAATACATTTAATCTTTAGATCTAGGAGGTATCTGTATTTTACCTCCATGTTTAGATACACCTTCACTACAAACATGGAAGGTGCGTTAATACCTTCCATGCTACAAACAAGCTCGCGTTACAATGACAAGCAACTTGCAATTGTCAAAAGTATCGGAGTTAGCGGATGTTAATAGCTTTTTTTGTTTGTGATGCTCAGTTCATCACTCATATTATATAACAAGTTTTGCATATGTTAATTGTATAATCGTAGATGGCAAGTACTTGAGCTTGTCAATGGGTATCGCAAATGTACAACAATGAAATTGTTTACGACACTGACGCCGAAATAGCTTTGCATTGTCGCAGTTGATATATTGTTAACCATTTTCAATCTATTCATGTCAAATTACCACAATAGCAATATGAATGGAGATAAATAATGGGTCAAGTACAATTTTAAATCAAGCCTCAGAGCACAGAGATCAAGAGTAATTTACATACAATCGGACAGTGATTGGAGGATGGCTAGAACACAAATACGTATGATAAACAGTTGATGACAATAAAATGTTCGTTAAACAGTAAAGGTCGTGCATTTTATTTGTTTCAAATATTTGTCTTTCACGTAAAAAGGATGAAGAAATTAAAAACACGTAATAACATCGATCAACACTATAAGTGCTGTACTGGTTTAAATACGCTCTTATGATTCCATCCCCAAACTTAGAATATAATAGAGTGACGATTTCCGCAACAGTCGTGTACGGAGAGTTGAGGGTTTGGCGGGGCTTGCGTGTAGTGTTCGATTGCCGAAAAGTGTGGACGGCCTTGTGAAGACGATCACGTGACCTCACTCTGTTTAACCTTGCATTAACAAAAGCCACGATTGCCGCGGTCACCGTGGCAAACTATACAGGTAATTTCTGTCCCGGGAGGGGCACTTGAATTGAAACTTGGTACGCATGCTGCAACACAAAAACTCGCATTGTGGGATTTTTTTCAAACAGATAGGGTTATTAAAATTGAAAAACAAAACAAAATAAGGGCATATTTTCCCCAAAAATATGATCCTTAAACGCAAATGGAGTTATTTTTCAATTTCCATGTCTTAATTTCATTCGAGAATCTCTGGGATGAATCATCACCACATCACACATCGTTCAGAGTTTCGTGGAATTCCCTCTCAAATAGGGTTTGCTTTTAGGTGTTTTGCGAATGTTTCAACGCATTAGGAGTTTGTTATACTAGAAGCCGTGTTTACGCACGAGTACCCATGCTCCAATTCCCGTCACTGCCCATGCGAAATCTGTTTTATATCTCCATAATAAAATAATATCTTTGCTAGTTCCGAACTTTTTATCTCGAGTTGATTCGACATTCACGATACCTTTCAACATTACAAAAAAATGCTGAAATAATATAATACAGTCACTTTGTTTCATTATATTATTGTAATAATATAAATTCATATTATTATTATTTTTTTTAGTTGTTACCTGTTCGGTTTTTTCAATACGTGTACCAGTTTCATGTAGTCATGGCAATAGAAATCATATAAAATGAAGAATGTGACATTTAGACTCGTGGAAAAGAAGCTAATACAAATGCACAATTGGAAGTCGAACGCGAGTCGGTACTGTTCAATAATTCATTGGTAATAAAAACAGAAGGCCGATTTAGAAAACAGAAATAACCAAATTTTTTTAGAGGGTATGCACTGACAATGTATGTATCGGAAAAAAATCGGAAATATCGGAATTATAATGTATTACTTAACACAAATCCGAGCTACACGTTCACAGACTAAGATACGTTCTGACCTTCAACATGTTTCAACGATATGGCAACCGTTTTCGGAAAGCGATCCTCTTTTCTATGATCAAAGCAATCAGTTACTTACTGGAATTTGGTATACTGGTGTTTCCATCGTGTTCGTGTAGCCACCACGGCGTCCTTCTGCCCTGAGAAGCCGACTAAAACAGTGACCGTGTTTTTATATGTTGCCTTCTTACCACCTTGCCGCTGAGTGATGTTCCCTCCAATTCCATGCATTGTGTCCTGGATTAACATCACAATGAGAAAGTCCACGTGGGCTTTCATTCACTTTCTGCACTAGTTGAGGTTTTTGATCACATGTACAGCGAGTGATATACTTTGTATACGTGCCGGTAGCGTTCATTTGCGAATTGGGTAATTTTGAATCCCCTGGTAAACAACTTGAACAGAAATGTATTTGTTTGAAATCGATTATTGAAAACAGGATTATTTTTTGTGTGAAATTTTAGAGAATCCGGAAGTTTTGACCAGATCTCATTAAATCGTGTTTTTTTTTTGGCAAGATAACGAGTGATTGGCAAGATAACGAGTGTTTGTTATAGGCTTATTATGTGTGACTGATATGTTGACAGATTTGTGTTCATTTCTGAATAAGACAAATGTACTGTTAGCCTCCCCCCACACTTTTAACATGGTGTGACAAAGGGGAGGGGCATAAGCATACTTATTCATAACCCATAATGCAATGTAATAATGACATCACAGCGTGCCTCATCCAATCAAAATCCTGATCCCGTATGTGTAATCATCGAAACATCAACGTGGGGGGCAAGGGTTATTTTCGTTCATCGTAATTGCAATATTTTTTTGTTCGCACAACGTAAATGTAAAAAATATATTCCGTAATTCTGTAATCACAGGCTAGACGTACAACGTAATCATCAAGTATTTTTTTTCGTACACTGTAAAAATGTGTAATTTTTCTCGATACGTACAAGAATTTACATTCAAATAAAAAAGTCGCAAAGAATAGTCCAGGGGAATTACATTTTCGAAACTGTAAAACTACTAGATGACACAATTCACTGCAAAATTCCATTTTTACTGTAAACTGTAAAAACGTCTTATTTTTGTGTAAATTGTGAAAAGCCCTTTTTATTTCCCGTAAAACTGTACCAGCTCATCAACAGGTGGTGGGTATGGGGATTATCTCTTCCCGATGCGAACATCATTCGTACACGCACGAATAATCCCTGTGTCTGACTGAGCAGGCGATGTATGCCTCCTCCCCTCCGTCGGCAGAGATCATCGTTCGATCGCATGTTTCTTACAGTATGCAGAAGCAATCGCTGGAACATAATACATTGAAACGTAAATACTGAGAGCGAAAACGGCTAATTCTTTTTTAAAAACATATTCAAATACTTATATGAATAGTTATGTACGAGAGTAAACATATCAGAGTCTAACTCGCTGTATAACTACCGTCTACATGTACGCCAACACTAAACAGTTACGTGGTGTTGCGAAAGATAATAAATCACTACTTTAAAAAAACGATTAGTTGTTAAAATTGAAAGGCAAGAAAGACGACTACTGATAAACACAATGTACACATCTCAAGAAAAAAAATGTATCAATGTCATTATGACCTATAAGAAACTAGAACGCCGAGCTTAAAACAAATTGTTTGTTTTTACAATCACCTGACGTAAATGTCAACATTTGTCATCGCCTCGACGTTAAATGGACACTTATCTTTTAGCGTGTCATGAAAGATAAATTGTGGGTTACGTAAGATCGGGTATGGGTGACGTAAGATCAAAAGATCAACAAAAAGGACATGTACCCCGTCATTCATTATACAACTCGTCCTTCCTAAATTCCTATAAATTCAAAAGTTTAAAGAAGCAGATAAAATGAATAGATTCAAAGGAATGTTAATTGTTGTATTCCAATCATATGTGTACTACCACCAATGTTCCAGCCAGCGTAATTCACGATATCGTGATAAGTTGGACAATAAAAGTGTGAACGGAAAAAATAACAATGAGGCGGACGATAGTTATGCAATAAAGTACGACAGTGTAAACCTCTGTTTGCGAGTTTCAACAAAAAGCCTCTAAACTTAACTAAATTAGTTTAATTCTTATGGCGATGATTTGCAACAAGGAGTAGAAGAAGAAGAAGAGTATATAAGCAAAGGTACCCCCGCGGTGAAGGCGAACACATTATCGCGTCTAGGCTCTTTTCCGAAACCAATATGACGCTGAGCGGGTTTCATTATAGTTTAAATAACGGGGCAAGGACGCGGGTGTGCAAAATAATGTACTGTACGTATATTCTATTTCGTTTCGACAGTCCATGGTATCATTATTGAAATAAAGTTCTATTCACTGTGATTGCGTGATAACAAGGCTCGGACAGAGATGACTGCGTAGATAATACTCGACTACTTCTTGCCCATCATTTCGTACATCCCCGTCCTTGCCCTGCGTCCTGTTAATTTAAACCATAATGACTCCCCCGGCGCCATATTGGATGAGAAGAAGGTATAGCCTGGCAAGATTCCGTCTGAGGCGAAGCCGGACACAATATCGCGCCTAGACCACTCCTCGAATCCATTAAAACAAAAGACAATTAAGATACCATGAACTGTTGAAACAAAATGAATATACGTTCAGTGGTAGCTTGAGGAGAAAGCAATAGTGTGTTTAGCGCGTCGTGGATGCTTTCAGTTACGCGTAGATGTTAGTAACCAACAAACTACGGAGATGCGAACAGACGTAAATATTCTAAACAAAATAATAGAGGGTTTGTTGTTTAAACTATCTGTACAAATGTGGGGAGACATGATTGAATGTCGACGAGCCACATACACGCAATCTAGTTCGTGTGCTGGTGCATTGACCTCAGACACTGTCACGTTATCGTCTGCTGAGAAAGTGGTGATTCAATAACAAAGCAGCTAGAACTAGTTACGTTGATGTCACTGCTTAGAAACCTGATCTAAGCGGCTGAGGACGTACGCAAGTGCTTCAAGCAGTCTTGTTTATTAATCATTGACTTTTTTCAGAGTTTCATTTTAATTTCTTCATTTTTTTTGTAATTTCCGAAAAAAACAATAATAAGATTTATATATAAGGTAGTAATTCTATTATAGATCGTCGTCACGTGACGCATATATTATAATAGTGTTGTCATTTCATTTTATACTGACAGTTGTTGTACTACTAGTCATTGTATATTATGGGTTCGGGGCACAGAGAATGAAAATAAAATTGGAGTCCAACATGTCAAGTTCAAAAATATCGAAATTTCCATCGTATGTCTAAAAGCATTTCTTCACATCCCTAATTGTATGAGAATCTCAACAAATTTGACATTTCAGTAGTCACGTGATTCCCCAAGATACAATTGGGATTGTTTTTCCGAAAGCATCATCTGATTTTCTTTCGATTGAGGGAACAGATAGCGTGTACCAGAAAGGAAAATACCACGAGTGTGTGTGTCATCAACCAAACTAAAGAGATTTGGTTAGGGAATCCAGCGTGCAAACTGAATGACTCTGCAATATCATTCCAAGTTATGTATGTTTTATCTTTTAAATGAAGACGACCAAGAATATAAACTTTGTAAATTTTATTTTCAGCAATCTAATACAGTGTGACGAAAAAAGTGAAAGCCTGTTACGTAACCAATAGAGCCGACCAATGAATAACACGTAACCAATAGAGCGTTATACCAGGATTACCCTTACTGCTAGTGATCAATCATTTATGTTAAGGTTTTATCGGTTCAATACAGTACCGATAATATGTTGAGGGATTGCACTCACCAAAGCGTACAGGTGGTAAATCAGTCACTCCAACAGAGAACAATAACACTATGTAAATTTGGACTCTTCGTTTCATTCCGTCTCTGTCCAGTTTAGAGCATAAATCCTCAGCAGGGGAACAGGGCATAATCGTTAAATTGAAAATTGAATTAGTGGTGTACACTCTGTAATCTTAGCATGCTCGTTTCGATGGCGAACAACCGTACATCATATACACCCATGTGGATAATTTGAACTTGAACTCATTAAATATAAAACCTTGACCGTCGCTATCCTTCAAGCGCGACTTGCGTGGTTTTAGGTTCATTGGGAACAGAAGTTCAGCCTTATCGAGCAAGCTCATAAACAACTGTTGCTACTTTATGAATCCCTGGCTTCGAATAAAGGTAACTGGGATAATGTTAGTTTATTAACAGTTCTTTTCAGAAATTCCAACGACGGTAGTTGAATATTTAGTCAAATCACAGATTGAGTACATAAATAAAATATATATATTTTCACTGGTTAAACCTTGTGCATGTCGTGTACTGTTCAGCGGCGGATTTAGTTGAGTCGCAAGGGCACACGCCTTTCTATATCCGTAGTTACTCTATATGGATAAACAACAAATCGATTGATTTTTATTTCGAAAAATAATCTCGAACTCACAAATAGTTTACTTGATATTTTGAGTAAACTGTTGGTGAGTAAAATAAACATACACCTTGTCTAGTGTTTAAAGATAAATATCTCGACCAGTTTTACATACAGTGGTGAAAGCGATCAAGGCAATCGATTCAAAGGACGCTCTGACTTTGTATTGTTTATTCAGACACATAAAGTACAGACCCATGAATTACTAGTACCTAAATCCAGTCATGTGATTAGTTTAAATGATGGATCACTAAAACAATTTGACCCGGTTGGCCCATTAATTCAAGCTTTCAGAATGCATTGTTCACTAGTCACAAACATCATTCTTGATGAATTGATTGATTGACTGAATGACTGAGCCTGAGAAGTTTACAAGAAGTTTGCCAGCCGCATTATATATCTTTTTCAGTTTATTTTGTACACTTTTTACTGACGTACAAACTATTGTACGCCCTTAACCACTTGTGGTTGATTGATTGACGATCGGATTGAGTGGCATCCTTCACCGAACATACGTTTTTTTCCCACTTTTTGTAGTAAGTTTTCAGATGTAACAGCTACAGAAAAATGGCCGTGCGTAGTGAGGTGATTGACCACAAAATTGAAGGCTGCCTGTGGCAGAGGCACAATTGCGCAAAGCGCAAAGGCCTATGGGAAGGAGATTGGTGTGACACCGACCGCCTTATTTATACCAGTGAAAACAAGTGTTCCACGTTGCACACACCACTGCACTGTAGGCTCATTCCAGTTTTTGTTCACACCCCCTACGGATGGTTTAAA